GTTTTTTTTTTTTTTTTTTTGGCTGCACTGTGCAGCATGTGGGATCTCATTTCCCCAACCAGGGATTGAACCTGGCAGTGAAAGCCCAGAGTCATAACGACTAGGCCACCAGGGAACTCCCTGGTTGAATATTTCTATGGTCTGAACCCCCCAAATTCATATGTTGAAACTGAGCCTCCAAGGTGGTGGTTAGGAGGTGGGACCTTTGGGAGGTGATACAGCCATGAGGGCAGAACCCTCATGAATGGGATTAGTGCCCTTATAAAAAAGGCCCGAGAGAGCTCATTTGCCCCCTTCTGACATGTGATAGATTTCATTTCTTCCCAACATTCATGAAGCAAGGTTGCTACGTGTGGTCCCCATCTTTTTGTTCTGTAGGAAGAAATTCAAAAGAAAAGAACCCGCCGTGCAGTCAAATTCCAGAGGGCCATAACTGGTGCATCTCTTGCTGATATAATGGCCAAGAGGAATCAGAAACCTGAAGTTAGGAAGGCTCAACGAGAACAAGCTATCAGGTGAGGAAGCTTTCATTATGAGCATTTCAGCTATTGGAATGGATTTTAGGTTATGTTTGGGTTTATAGGCACAGAAATCTTAATCTCATGTTATTTTGTGTTGTGTTACTTGCATCTGTATAGGAATTGTCAAATTGTAAATACTCATGTTTAATAGTACAGAAGTTTATACTATAGTCTAAATGATTTGTTGAAATTCTATATGCAATTATAAAGATACTGTACAATTTCTAACAAATGTTAAGCTGACTTGGTGGTTAATGACATTTATTAATAAATCCTTCGGATTTATCATACAAATAATTGCAGGTGGGGAAGGAATATGTTAATTCTACTTTTCCCAAACACTAGCCTCTTGTTAATAGACTATACCCTTAAGGAGTAATGTGCTTTGCTTAAGTTATTTTTAACCCCACAGGGCTGCCAAGGAAGCAAAAAAGGCTAAGCAAGCATCTAAAAAGACAGCAATGGCTGCTGCAAAGGTAATTGTGGGATTGTCTTGGATTTCTCATTTAAAGCAACAGAAAGATTTATTTTTAATCCAAATTGTGGTAAATGAAAGTTTCAGTTTTTTAAGGAATTTAGTGCAAGGCTCTAATGGAAATGATGTCCATAATTGATTTCTGAGTGAGTGATTCCGGTCTCCAGAGAGGTCCCTTTGCTAAAGCCAAATGCGTATGTTAGTGCTATGTAGAAATAGAAAGGGGGAAATAAAGGTGTTTTAAAGTTTATTTTGAAATAATTCTAGATTTTCAGTAAAATTTTCTATAATTGTACAGAATTTACCCAGCTTTTATCAGTGTTAATTTCAATAACCATAGTAGAAATTTTAAAACCAAAAAATTAGCATTGGTCCTTTTTCTGTTCTTAGGATACAGTTCAGGATCCCACACTGCATCTAGTTGTGTCTCTTAACTCCTTCAATCTGATATCTTTGTCTTTCATTTATATTTCATATAAAGGTGGACTTTATAATATTAGGAACACAGATAATTAGGAAAGCAGTCTAGGATACAAACAGAATCTGGGCATAAGAGAGCAGTGATTGGGGGAAAAAAACCAAAACAAAACCTCACATGGAATAATGCCACATAACATGTTGTCTTTTTACAGGCTCCCACAAAGGCAGCACCTAAGCAAAAGATTGTGAAGCCTGTGAAAGTTTCTGCTCCCCGTGTTGGTGGAAAACGCTAAGTTGGCAGCTTGGATTTTTAAATAAAGATCTGACTATAAGTAGATTGTGGTGGAATTTTTACTCCTAAATTAGGCATGTTCAGCCTACACAGTAATAGCTAAACTACACAGTTAGGAATTTAAGAGCTAGGTGGGGTTTTTTGTTTTAATAAATTATTTATTTATTTATGTCTGCATTGGGTCTTTGTTGCTGTGTGGGCTTTCTCTAGTTGCAGTGAGCAGGGGCTACTCTAAGTTGTGGAGCATGGGCTCTAGGCGCGCAGGCTTCAGTAGTTGTGTGTGAGCTCAGTAGTGTGGCTCACGGGCTTAGTTGCTCCGCGGTATGTGGGATCTTCACAGACCAGGGATAGAACCCGTGTCCCCTGCATTGGCAGGGGGGGGGGTTTTTTTTTTTTTTTTTTTTTTTTTTT